CATCATTCAAGCCTTCCAGGAGCAGTTACCAAGACTGATACCACGTCCTATGTGCATAAGGCAGTTCCTATTTTACAGTTTCCCACGTTCTCACGATCTTCGACTCTTCCATAACTTAGAAACTGCTTTCCATACGTGCGTTTTGATTATTTCCCTTCAAGGTTTAGCCGGGGTTTCGATGTCTACGTAGACAAGCCTTCCCTTCGATTTCGACTTAATCGAGAACTTTGCATACCTGGCATCGATTCATTTTAACCTTAACTTCATATACTTCAAAGTTGTTCCATGTTAAGCCTTCGATTATTACTCCTACCCTTCTGATTCTACCTTTCGATTTTATGTGCTACGTTCTTTATAATTGGACATCGAAAAAGTTATCATACGCTTTGTTCGTTTATCGATCATATTTCTCGATTTCACACTAACAGAACCCAACTTATTTCAACCTACGCTGGGTTTGTTCTTATAATTCAAATAAGACTTTATTTATTGGATTCAAATATATATGACTATAGAAAATAAATTTATCCAAATTTAGATAATTTCCTTTTTATCGTGGATTATATGATAACCAGTTAGAGTTCAACCATTTTCAATAAAAACTCATCATTCTTGAGCCAACAACGTAGATCTTCCACTCATGATCAATGAATATGGCTTGACTTCCTTTGTGTTATGATAATGCTATAATAATGGTGAAGGGAGTAAAAATGGCAACAAATCAATCAAATAAAGCAAAGAATAAAATGAAGAAACGATGTAATAATTAATAAAATGAATTCTGATAAATTGAGATTTTTTACGTTGTTAGCTAAAATGTGCTCTTTAGTCAGACTTCGACATGTTTACGGAAGAATTTTCTTGTTGACGCGTGTTTTTTCTTTTCATTAAAAATGGTTTTTATGTTCTACTCTTACCATCAAGATATTGAGTTACTTTTTATGTTTTTTTTTTCATAAAGATATAATTATTCATGAATATTGGTGTTAGCACCTAATTTTGTCCGATATAAAAAAATATAAATAATAGTGTTTATTTTGAAAATATGAAAAAAATTAAAAAACAGGATTAAAAAAATGGTTTTATTGTTCTTAAAAAAATTCAAAAAAATATAATGTTGAAATTTTTTTATTAACATTTTGCATTTTTAAGAAAAAAAAGAAATGAAAAAAATAATATATTTTCTTAATATTTTACATTATTTTTAATATTTGGACAAAATAAAAGAAAAAATATTAAAATATGAAAAAAAGAAAAAGATAAAAAATAGAAGATGGTTTCTTTTTAAGCATCTTGTTTTAAAATAAAAAAAATGAATAATAGAAATTCTTTTTAATATTTTACATTAATATATATATATATATATATATATATATATATATATATATATATATATATATATATATATATATCTTATTTCTAATTATATTTTAATTTTTCTTCTCCTTTCTACGTTAGTTCAATCCAGTTTGTTCAACCTAATTTTTTACTTTTCGCCCAATTCACTTTTTATTTTGAACCTAATTTTTACATCCTTTAAGAGGGGAGAGAGATGATTGAGGGTTTGACCTAATTTCTCCTTCGCTTTCGCTCTTCCTCCACCCCATTCATCATCACCCGTCACCTTCCTCCCCTCTCCTTCTCAGATGGACTTCAAAATTTATGATTATCTCAAGTTCTCATTTTACGTAACCACGAGATATTAACCTTCATTCATAAAACATCATATATTTCCCATCTATTTCTTTTTGTTCTCACTTCTTTCTCATCGTTAATAATGAGCAAACCTTACACTATAGACAGACCATTTGTTTCTTTTATATATCTCGTTTTTATGAGGTTGGTTATTATCAATTTTAAAAATAATTCTAAATATTATCTATTCAAATAGATAATTATATATATTATTCACTAAATTAGATACATTCTCATATTATTTATTAAGTTTAAAACTTTTCATGTCATATAATTAAATTAATTTATTTATTAATTTTAATATTTTTTTCACTTAATTCGTCGTAATATATAAATCATAGTACACATTAAAGTATTTTAGATAAATTGATTTCTTTATTATTTATAATTAAAGATAAAAAATAAATAAAGAGTAACGTCATCCAATTCATCACATGCTTTTTTATATGATTTAATAATGAGAAATTCGGATTTAAACATAATATTATTCTTAATTATAATAACAAATTTTTTATTATATATATATATATATATATATATATATATATATAATAGAAAACAAAAATTAAGAAACTTATATATTAAAGAGTATCACATAAACTTTAATAATAACATTAACATTTATTAGTAGACATAATGTTCATATTCTATATATGACCAATAAACAATTTGGATGATAACATTTTTCTTAAAGAGTTAACAATCATAAGATCAATGTTAATATGTTATATTAATACTCTACATCTTTAACTTATTCATTAACGATAAAATACTTAATTTTATATACTTAGCACATTTAGAATAATTGTTGTTCTTAGAAAAGAAGATTGATGTAGAATTATTATAATAAATTTTAAATAACTTGATAATGTTGTCGACTACTCTAAATCCTTAAATAAATCTTCCAACCAATTAACTTGAAATATGACTTCAAAATGTAGATGCAACACTTTTTCATGAAATCGTTCATTCAACTAAAAGATTATGGTGAAAAAATGGACTAACCCCCCAACTTGGCGGGTCAAGGATCGGGCGAGATAAGTTGTGTCATTAGCCCACTTTAAAAAATATTTATATATTAAAATAAAAATGACTATAATTAAAAAATAGTATTTTTTTTATGTTATGTTATAAAATATAGAAATATATTATAATATTCTAATTTAAATTATAAAATTTAATTAAATTTAAATTATTAAATTTTTATATATTAAAATGAGTTAGCTCATGAACTTGGCAGTGCAAGGATAGGACATGATAAGTCTGTGTCTTTAACGCACTTAAAAAATAATTTATATATTAAAATTAAAATAAAAATGACTATAAATAAAAAATATTATATTTTTTATGTTATGTTATTAAAATATAAAAATATATTATAATATTCTAATTTAAATTATAAAATTTAATTAATTAAATTTAAATTATTAATTATAATTAGTTATTTTAACACATATATTTTTAGTTTATCTAATAAAAATATTAATTAATAATTAAAACTTTAAAAAGTATTCATATAATTAAATATATATTTAAACATATATTTGGTGGGATTTTTAGTTTGTCTTAACTATGACTGGTCACCCACCTTACGCGATCTTTGATGAGTTAGAGGCGGGGTGAACCAAAACTACTTTATAGGATTTTAAAATTTATTATTCTTAAACATTCACATAAATCAAAAGTAGGGAGATATTAACATTGATTCATAAAAGATCCATTGAATATAGGATCTTCCGTCTCTCAATTTTTAAATTTCCTCTTCTCAATCTATTTTTTTGCCTTTATTTCTTCTTTCACACTTTTGATAGTTAACGATGAGCATTATGTCAAAGACAAAACTCTTATTTCTTTTATATAGTCAATTTCTATCAAATTGATTACCATCAATTTCAAAAAATAACTCGCATATTATCTACTAAATTGGATAACTTCTCATACTGTTCACTAACTTAGATAACTCCTTGTAGTATTCATTAACTTGGATAACTTCTCATACTATCCACTAAGTTAAATAATTTTTTATATTATCCACTAATTTTGAAACTTCTATGAGTAACATAATTAAATTAATTTTATTATTAATTCTAATTTGGGTGTCTCGTTTATGATAAATTTATTATCATGAATCTCTTTAAAATAAAATATTTATATAATTATTTTATTTATGATAAAAATATCAATTTAGACGTAGATAGTGATATTTTTAATAGGACCATTTTATACATTTTTCTATAAAAAAATTTAAAGAGAAAATTTGAAAAAAAAAATAGCTGAAAAAGTTTAGAATAAGTTAAAATTAAAAAAATAGAAAAATTATTTTGTTTATCTTATAAGTATTTTATATATAAAAAAAAATCATTTCATTTTATGAGCTAAGTGACCTCAATTAAGATTATGAAAAACTTTATTTCATGAAAAGTTTCCACACACTTTATTTAAGATATTGTTTCAATATTTAAGTAGACAAACACTGACCATGCTTTGAATAGATAATGAAAATGTATCCCAAAATAATAATAGAAAAAAAACATAGAAATAAGAGAGAAAGTGCATAGTAAAAAAAATCATTGTATGATTTAATCGGAATCAACAAGATTTTAATAACTAAAAATATATAAATTAATTTTAAAAATATAATATCATAATTTATGATGTTAAAAATTAGAAGAAAATATAAATTTTAAAATATTTAATATTGAAAATACATATAAAAGTTTAAATGAAAATTTCCCATAATATACATAAAATATCTATTAATAATAACAATAATAAAAAAGATAACTAATATTTTAAGTTAACTTTTATTCTTTTTCATAAAAAAAAAAAACAAGTCAAAATGATAATTGAATAATTTTTATATTGAACCAGTTATTGCAGGTCCAATCAACAGATTCAAGAACCGGGAATCCGCATTCATAATAATAAGAATATTGTAGAACCATCAAGGGCGATGCAACTGAATGTGTGTGTATATATATATATATATATATATATATTATATATGTGCAGTACTTGGCCCAAAAACATGCATTATTGGGATGTATGCATACCCTTCTTCTATATATAATACATAACATACCCAACAGTTTTGTCCTCTACTTATGAGCCCTTGCTCAAGCACATTAATATGATATCTTCATAAGGCTCAAGCATGATTTTTTGAGCGAGGTTAAAGCTTCAAATGCCGGTAAGTGTTTTAGAACAAGAATATACAAAACTGGCTATTTCTTGAAAGCTCTAAACAAGGACAAGATATATTTTGTAGAAGAACAAAAAATGGTTGAAGGTAGTAACTTCTGAGGCTATTTATTGCTTCTTTCCAGGCTTGACAGATGTGATAGCTCTTGATTGTTGGCTGTTGGAAGATGTTCAACTTGTGGTTCTTGCTCATCATGGTCCACTCTTACTATCAAGTTTGCTGTTGGTGAAATGGTAGAAAGCTCAGTGTCAGATTGGTAATCATCTTGCTCATTATCATAGGCTGACATGGTGCGAGTTGAGTGACCAGTAGTTTTGAAACGGTGTAGTCTGGGGCCAGAAGAGTGTACTGTTGAATCAGTGGTGGTGCTTCCATCCATGGCTCGCACCTTGGTGTTTCCAAGTTTCACTCCCTGCTTCTTTTTCACTGCCATGTGCCACTTCTTTAATGCCTTTGATGTTTGTTCATCAAATATTGATTTTTTCATTCTTGAGCCCATCTGTATGTGTTTTCCATCGATCATATTCAATTAGTCCACCTTTAAATTTTAGTAACTTGCATGCATAAATAATGGTAAATGAGGATAGTACCTAGAAAATCAAGTTAAGATACCATCTGAATGGCTGGCTACACTACAAATAGCTCATGAAAAATAAAAAGGATCTACCCAAAATGTTTCAGGGGCATCAGGAATTAGTTACTGGAATGCAGTCATTCATCACAAGAATAATGAGTGCTAGTAACACTGTTTCTAGTACATACTTTTTTATTAATTAAATTAATTGAAAACGACAAAATCATGAGGTTCATTACATAACACTTGGAACCTACAATTTTTTGCGAGTTCCAATAAATTTCAACCTATAAAAGTATTCAACTTAGTGAACTAGAGAGAGTGTTTTATTAACATTTATCAAGCAATATATTTATGTTATTCATTACAGTATAGTTCATGACCGCTGGAGAAACTTCAATCAAGGCAAAAGAATGGATCTGATCAAATAAAAGAAAACCAGGAAACAAAAAGCATGTAGTACCTGAGTAACAAGAGCATATAATGGAAGGGTGATATAGCTGCAGAGGCATAGAGCTGCAAGCCTTCAAACAACACAAGAATCCATCAGATTAGTTCATGGCAATATCAAATGCTTGAATTGTACTAATGCTGGTGGGGTCCCCTTATTGATTTGTTAAGCAGGGTTTAACGGGTTCATATAAAAAAAAGAAAGCTAATTTCTGCAGTATGAAATGCATATTTAGCATGACATTCTAATGTAGAAGGAAATTGATAATTCAACACTTACCCTAAAGCTACTTTCACTATTGCAAGCTTGTAGTCAGCATGGAAACAATTTATCAGCCCAAAAGAATACTGCAAAACAAGAAATCATTTATATATTACTCATCCATTTACCAAGATCTACATAGGCTACAAAAGGATATTACTTAAGATCAACAAGATGTGAGGGATCAGTACCCATATCCACAGGAAATATGTTATTTGGAACGCATTCTGCATGATAGCAAAAAAAAAAAAGAGTTAGGTACAAAAATTAACGAGTTAAAATTTCAAAAACTTCAAAAATATTTATTCTCACAAGGTTACACTAGGATATTTTAATCTATTTGTTCAAAATCAAACCTTCAACACATCTTAAATAATGTTAATGGAACTAAAAAATTAGATAATGTTAGCAATAAAAAAAATTATTTGATTTTATGCAGAATGTTTTAGACTAGCAAATTTTTCAGTACTTATATCATTAGCTATGTTCATTTTCCTCCTGGTAAAGCTGCATTTTCAACTCCAAACTTGAAAGATTATACATTTGTTGGTCAGGATTCTGCTAAGAGGAAACTAATTGAATACCTGAAACAAAGCAAAATGGATAAGATGAAGAACTAACTGAGGCCGACCAAACCAAAAATATCTGTCTGAGCCTTGAACAAGGGGAATCCCCTGGACGACTGCATGTCTTTCTGTTATTTCAATAGCCATCTTTGCCAGCGTGACTTGAAGTTTTGTTCCAACAGCCAAAATTATCTGTAACCAATTAAATGGTTTCTAATTGTAGATCTCAACCACTCTGCAAATTATATTATTGGAAACAGAATACTTACGACGACTGGAATTAAGGATGCCCAGAACATAGCATGCCATCCTGCAATATTATATACGGGGTTAACCAACTGTTATCCTTTAACTGAATATTCAACTGAAGAATTGTGAATTGCATAGGACTCCACTAAGAAAATAGCAGCTCACCATTAACATTTAGGAGCAGGAAAACAACAAATGAAGCCCAGAGGACAGGACTGTCAACAGCATAGTGAGCAAGTATGTCAAACAAGTTACCATTGGAAAAGTCATAGACAATACAATTCTACTAATGCACTGTGTAGAAGAGAGTTACCTGACTCCAACAACTACCTTGAAGTCATCCTCCAAGGATCTTTTGATATACTTTTGGAAGTTGAATTTGCTTCCAGGAGCCAGATGGACCTAACACAATGCACTGTCAAAAGAAGTAGGCAAATGCAGTTTTAAAAGAACATGTATTGTGGAGTAGGCCTTACAGCGATGAATCCATTGCGCAAGGCCAAGTAGTCAGCCTTCCCCACAGACCTATAAAATTGCCTAAAAAAGCATCCCTGAAATTGGCAAAATGGAAGACATGTTACGAAATTCATAAAGAGATTCATACTTTTTTAAAGTTATAAATAAGAAGGCAATTTATTATTAATGATATAAAAAAATTGCAGTAGTGAATCCACTAGTTATCCTACTTCACTTCCCAATTTTTCTGAGCTATATCAAAACCAATGCCACTAAAGTCCCACTGTTGAATTCTTTTAGCAAATTTACATGTCTATGAAGATTCCAACAAAAGCTATAGGCACTTGCACCTCTAACTTGTTGGTTAAACCAAGCCCTCAACCTCATCAAGGAAACAAAAAGTGAAAAGATAGAAGATTATTAAAATGAATCTTACTATATAGAAGAAGATTGAATATCTTGTCCAAAAAGAAGCATGACCTCTCACAAACGATGTTTCATGTGTAAGCCGGAATCTTGAAGGGTCTGCAGCCATAGCAAATTCCCAATAGTGGCATGATGTTGCATGTAGCAGTATTTCAAAGTAAAGTGGTATATTTATCAGGAAAAATAAGGAATTTTACACTCAAAGAATAAGAACAGTTAAATACATCATTGGACATCGTACCATTAGCAAACTCATATCCATGAGATGAAGTCTCCTCTTCCCATGCCTTCCATCCTCTAATCTGCACAAAAGAAAAAGAAAATTCAGTCACTGACTCTTCATCCTCAATGAACACAGGAAGAACATGACACTGATTTAGATTTTTGTTAACAGAAAGACTCACAAACTTAATCATGGTGAGAGTTTGGGAGCAAATACTATTCTTTAGCAGTTTTCGATCTACCTATACTTGCCACCAGTATGCTTTAATTCTCTCTTATACATGCACTAACACCCGCGAAGGAAAAATGTATTAAGGACACAAACTTAAGCCATTATTGTTATTTCCCAAATGTAATGTTTAAACTAAATTCTTAGCAAAGAATAAAATTGTAAACCAGTAAATACAAGAAATTTAAACTATTAAATCTTTTAGGCATCATGGTTCCAAGGCAAAGAGGAAGAGCCTTAAGATTATTATTACCAAATTGGTATCCTTAAAATGCATAGATGTAGAAAAATAACTAAAGTATTCAATCAAGAAAACTGTAAACCGAAGAAAGAAGAAATAAAAAAATACATGCAAACCTTTAGTCTCCCAAGAAGCATTGTTACAGCACTGTAAAACACATGAAGGACTGCTAAGAAAAATATGAGGATGTGTAACTGGTGCAATCCATTGACAGATATCAGCGATTGATGCCCCTGTAATCAATAACAATTAGATAGGCAAGGCAACTACTGCTATGAGTAAAAAAAAAAATTGCAAATAACGTGTGAATGAGCCGAAATAGTTTTAATACTGTGCTGACTGATGACAGTGTGAATAAGTGGAAATTGTAGAGGATTCTGTCATAAAACCTAACAGAAAATGGGAGTGTAACATCTATAATCAACATTAAATATTTTATTTTCCTAGACCAAACATACTTTTAATGAAATTTTGAATGAGAGAAGCAATTGTTTTCAATTGGTCAATCTACAGCTGAAGATGGCATTCTGAATGCCACATATGTACATCAAACAACTGACCATGGCATGAGATGACTACATAAATATTATTTGTTTTTACAACATGCTTCTGCAAAATATCATGAAAAAGAAGGAGTAAATAAATTATACTTTTTAGTTAAATAAGAAAACCTCCGAGCCCCTTTGCGGAAAAGAACATAGAATCAGGTTTCATTCAATTAAATAAAAGATTAGCGTTGAAACCTACTTACCTCCTTGCATTGGTAAGGGGTAGCTTCATCAGACAAATATCTGCGTTCATAAGAAAGAAGTTTCCTATGGTGTTCCTCATCACTACCAGATTCTTTGTTGGTACCAACATAAGGACATGGCAACAATTTATCTGCCATATCAATGGGAATACATATTTTAACAATATAACTCTGCCCGAAAGTCAGAAGCAGTGAAAGGAAACCAAGAATCATCAACTCTGCAAAAACAAAACCAACAATATAAAAAACAAAAGAGAGCAAAGAAGTAATAGTTATTATTATATTATAATAATGATCACCCACATAAATTATAATAAAAGAAAATTAAGTCAAGAAGAAGAGTCAAACTGCATTGGCTCCACGATGTAAGCATTAGTTCATAACAACTATTCTCTTTAATGAAAAATTCTTACCAGCTTTGACCTTTTCCAAAGCCTCAAGCAAAGCCTTCTTGTGCTTGTCATGTAGCCACTGAGAACAGGAAATCATCAGGTTAGCAAAGAGGAAAATCGAACAAGCACTATTCATGATGATGCCATCAACACAACCTTTCAACTTCTAAGATTTCAAAAATTATGTCTCGATTTCAGAAACCAAAAAACAAAAGAAAGGGTTTTTCGAAGCAAAAATGAAACTGCGGAGGTGGAACAGACAAAGAACATAGAAAATCCCAGAACCCCGGAAGTTCATGCATCAAATCCTCAGGAGTAGGGACAACATAATATTTAAAAAAAAAAAAAAGAGAAAAAAAAACTCCATTGATACCAAATTAAAGTTGATCGAACTGAAAGAGTATGGAAGGGACAGTTAACTTGAATGTGAAACGCAGACGTGGGGAAACAATGATAATAATTACAAGGCAAAAAAAGGGAAGAGAAGAAACGTTTGAAAATGGTGACACACCGTTCCCACTTTGTGAAGGCTTTTCTCCAGTGTTAAGGATATCAAGATGAAAACAGTGCAGACACAAGCAACGGCCCATGTTGGTGTCTGATCAAGGTCTTTGGAACCGATACTACTCTCACTTGAAGCCACAGTCACACAACCGCACCACAACCATGAAACCAGACAAAGAGACAGCTTTTTGTACTTTGAGCCAGACATCAGCATTTAGCATAAACAAACCACCCACAATTCTCAACAGAACAACCACCGCAGAATGAGAGAGAGAAATGAAAAAATGGGTTCCAGAAACAGACTACAAAGCCACAGGACTATTCTTGTTTGTGTAGTTCCTATGTAGACAAAGATAATAACTTTACTACTTTTCCTGATCTGGTTGGTTTCGAAAGAGAAGAAGTCTTCAAGCTTCAAAGAGTGTGCATTAATTAGAGAGAGGAAACGAAAAAATTATGGCCCCTGGTGGTATTGCAGGAGCAGGCAGGCACCTATCGTATTTGAATTGAATTTGAACGCAGTTTCAAAGGTTGCAGAAGGATTTTTTTTTTTATAATTTTATTTTTGAAAAAAGATTGTCTAATTTTCTATTCTGTGTCTGTATTCGTGTGAGAGTAATAATTAAATAATTTAATGTAAGAAAATGAAGGATGAACCCAAAACAGAAACATAAACTCCCGTTATGGAATCAATTAGGCGTAAGAGTGTTCTTCGAAAATGGAAACTATCACAGTTGTCACGTCACTGGCAATTTTGTTCCTACTGAATTTTTCCTTTTCTTTTCCTTTTCCTTTTCCTTTTTCTTTTTCATTTCTTTTTCTTTTTCTCACCACTTTCCTTTGTCATTTTTCAACTCTAATTGCGGGGAGGATGTGAAGTAAATAAATTTTCAGTCTTTATTCAAAACATAAATAAATTTTAAGTCCACCAAAGAGTTAGTTACATGTAATTAATACGCTGAACCGAAAGTAACGTTAAATTGTTGGGACACAGTTTAATTTTGACTTTCAATAAAAATATTTTTTGTCGAACTTTACTTGTCTCTCATTTAAATTAAATAATTTTAGGACAAAATAATGAGAAATTAATAAAACATTGTTCATGAATAAAAATAAATAAATTGAGTCTCTCTAGTACGGTAATAAAAATAGTAACAAAAAAAGATACATTAAAAGAAAACCTAAGAAACACTTACAAAGTTATATTGAGTTGATTATTTCATTAATAAAGATATACAAATAAATCATATATAAATATTTACGTTATTTTGATTTTATAACACTTATTTTAATATTTATCTGAATTATAAAAAAACAAAAAAACAAATGTGGTTGATTTGACTGATAAATTTTTTGCCTTCTAAACTATATTTACTTTGAGAAAACAGAAATGATGCAGAATGCGTTAAGTACCCCCACAAACGCGGTTTCACTTTTAACACCATATGTGCCTCTCTCTCTCTCTACGTCTTTCTCAATATCAAAATATTTCAATAAAAATATTATATTTTACTTAAATAAAAGTTACTCGATTAATCAAGTTTTGCTAAGAATTAAAAAAAAAATCTCCTTGTAAAGCTGTGTTTAGTGGAAGGAAATTTTTGGAATCATATTTATAAAAAATAATGAATTTTGAGAATAATTTTTTAATAAAGGTTAAAATCAATAAAATATTTCATATTTACATTGAATGGATTTTTGCTAACAAGTGTTTTAATATACTAGTTAAGGAACGAAAAACAGAACTATACGAGAGATTAAAAAAATAGAAGTACACAATTTGTTTGTCATATTTAATATATCTTTTTCTAATAACTTTAATTATTTATTTAAAAGTACCTATTTTTCTTTTTAATTTTCTAATTAAGAAAATGTCAGCTAATACGTTTCATGTTTTGAAAAATTTTCTTTACAATATTTTGAAGGTGGTTGGGGTGACAATGAACATATAACATATTTAATTACAATAAAATCGTTGGACTTGACTTGTTTGTGTGATGCAGTAGTAGGTTGTCTAATACGCGTTTCACACCTTCTCTCTCTAATGAAAAATGATTGACATTTATTTAACCTTAATTTTCGGTTACCTTGCCTTTCAATTCAATTTTCCCAACTCCAACCGCCTCTGATTGCTACCATAAAATCAAACTCCCAAAGTGAATGTGAGTATTGAGTATTATTTTCTGATTATTATAAATAATGGTTATCGAGAACATAATATTGTTGAAATTGAGTATAACGTGAATGTTGAAATTAAATATCTAAGTTTTTATTAAGATAAGATATCATGTATACATCAGTTAATGAAAATTGATAGATATTATTGTTAGTATATATTGATAATAACTTCGATCATTAATATTAAACGAAAATGGTAGGAGTTATCTTGTAAATAGGGTAGAGAGAGGGTTACTGTAAAAAAAAAATTATTTTAAATTTTATTAAAAAATATATTATAATATCTATAAAAATTATTTATATGTATTAATTTTCTTGTAAGACTAATTTTCTGATCTGGTCTCCATTGCAAAATATGTATTCTAAAAAAATTATAAATTAATAATTTAACTAAATATATTTTAATATTTTTACGTGTGTTTCAATGAGGAACATTATTTAATTTCTTACTTAAGTAAAATTATAGAAATGTGATGGCCAATAGTATGTGCAAATAACTGATTTTGTATGATTTAATAATAATACTGCTTATCTTAATGAGTTTTATGGGTCTTTGGTCTAGAAGTTTCTTAAGTTGAAGATTTACTTTTTTTTTTTTTAATTAGAGATTAATATTTTAGAGTTAATGTAAGATCTGCTAGATTTAGGTAACTCTTTAAAAATAAGTTTTTTATTTTATTAAAAAAATATTATTATATTTACCTTCACAGTAGTGATAACCAGTGTGTTTGAATCTATAAGTATCTAAAAATACGTTAGAAAATAAAATAAAACAAATAAATTTTAATGTGTAAAATAATAAATTAGTTTCTAAATATTAGAGTTTAATTACAGATAATTTATAATTTAATTTAAAAAAAATTATTAAGTTATGAATATTTCCATTAAATTGAACATTAAACGAAATTGTGAAACTTTATTATTAAATAAATTTTCGAAAAGAGTAAATTTATTGTTCTTGCCATTAAAAACGAAAGTGGTAGCTTAACATCAAAATATTTACTTCAGTTGTAACCTGAAAAGACATAAATGTTGGTCGTATCGAACAGTGTATGGCCCACATTGTGCAGTCATCGGTGAATTTGTGGGATTCTTAAAAAAAGTTGAATTAAGATTCATGCTTTGCTCTCAAAAACCAATTCAGCTGCAAGCAAAGGTCAATGATAATCCCCCACACGCCTACCTTTCATTACGCCATACACGCTTTATATGTAAATATAGTTTTAAATTTTAAAATAATAATAATAACCCATATTCGTCATAAGATATTATTTGATAAATATAACTTTAATTCATTTTAATATATACATTTGATAAAAAATTATTAAAATAATAAATAAAATTATTAATAGTAAATAATTTTATTTTTCCCTTTTCCTTCTTTCCAAATTTTTGATCATATAAAACATAAAAGAAAAAAAAAAAGGCAGTTGAAATAAATATGTGAAGTAGGTGAGTTGATTTAAGTAATTGACAATTGAGTAGGTGCCAATATTACGAGTTACAGGTTGCAGAGGTAGGTGCTACCATCGGACTAATTAATCTCGTTTCTACAAAATTTATTATTCACTACAAAAACACGTTTCTTACCATAAAACATGATAATGTTAAAAGAGTAATATCAGAATTTTTTTTTTAATGACAAGATTAAGGAAGTTGAATATAATGCTAATTTCAAAATAAATGAAATAATTTTATTCCAAATATAGAAATTTTGTCCTTAACTGATTATATATTTATTTTATAGTGATAACTTACATAAATAAGTATATTTATTAATTATCAATCATTTTATTCTTAATAAATTTACTTTTAAAAAATCATTTCACCTTGTTTAAATTAGAATAATAAGAAAATAGAGAAGAAACGATTAAAAAACTAAAATAAAAAATTATAATTAATTTAAATATTTTAATAAATTACCTAAACATTCTTAATTAAAATTATATCAGAATAAATATGAATATAAAAATAAAAGATTTTTTTTTATAAACGTTTAAAGCATCACCATGTAATACATAAGATTATATATTCAAACAAAATACAAAGTTCATAAGAGATAAAACTAATGTCTATGATTTTTAAGATAATCTGTAATGAAAAGGGAATATCTATTTCGAAAGAATTAAAATTTGTTTTACATGAAAATTGAAGAAAATTGTTAAGTATAATAAGAAAAAAATTGTTAAATATAAAAATGATAATTACTACGGATTTTTACCAACGAATTTGTAGTCGTCAAAAAATTAGTTATTATCGATAGAAATTACCGACAAATATAAAGTAGTTGTAGAAATTGGACTTACCGACAGATATATCCATCGGTAAATTAATAATTAGTTACCAACAGATATATTTGTCGGTAAATCTGTCAATAAATTAATAATTAATTACCGTCGGATATATCCATCGATAAATTAACAATTAATTATCAACGGATATATCTGTTGATAAATCTGTCGGTAAATTAACAATTACTTACCGACGGATATATCCGTCGGTAAAATTATATAATAATTACTTAAATTTAAATATATTCTAATAAATTAATTATTCACCTAATTAAAAAATTAAATATTTTTTCTATTTAATAAATTAATTTAATCATAATTAAATTAATTTATAATAATTTATTAAATTAAATAATTTAAAAAAATATTTAATTATATATAAATATACAAATATATAAATATATTATATACAAATATATAAATATACAAATATATAAATGTATAAATATAAAAATATAAAATATATAAATATACAAATATATAAATGTATAAATATAAAAATATAAAATATATAAATATATTGTATTTATATATTTATTTGGATATACGTATATTAATATAATTTATTGTAAATTATAATTGAAAAATTCTGATAACTTAGTGGTTGAAGAATCGACTTCAAACTCTAAGGTATCTGAAATTCTAGTAGCTTAGTAGTTGAAATATTAGCCTCCAACTCTAAGATACTCGAATTCGAATATAAATTTATCGACAATACAATTACCGACGGATTTTATCCATCGAT